AATGAGCAAGTTGTGACTTGTGAGCCTGAAGCCCCTGCCTCCTGGCAAAACTTGTCACTGACGAGTCTGGAACAGACTTCACCCACTGCACATCCTCTGATCATAATTGCATTGCATAGTCACAGACACTTTAAAGAATGGTGAAATACATAAATACACACATGCATATACACTCATCAAAACAGAATGAGAACCACTGAGCCCAATCATAGGGAACTTATTCTAAAGAGTAAGTGAAGAATCTCGGGGCTCTAAGAACCCTAAACCACACCCTGTAGCTGACTGAGTTGATATCTGGGAACTACATAGTGTTGAAAAGAAGCGTGTGTTCTGGGCAGGAGAAACAGGTTGGTCAGGCACTGTCTGTGGTTTCCAGCAGAGTGGCCTAGAAAGGCCACTCACAGTGGCCTGATAATCTGGGCTTCACTACCACCTCATGGTGCTGAAATTCTCCTGTTCTGCTATTCTGAGAATATGTGCTCAGTCTCAGCCATATTGAGACTGAACTGTAATTTCTAAGTAGCGTAGCAATGTCTAGTAGGTGGAGGGAAGTGCCAGACTAGCTTAGAGGTAGAGAGGAAGTTAGGCCTACAGAGAGCTTTAGAGTAAGTTCCCTACAATGGACCCATCATCGTTTCGCATTGTTTTGATGAGTATATGTGCACGTGTGTATTCATGTATTTCACCCGTCTTTAAGGTGTCTGTGAATACACAATATAATTATGGTCAGAGGATGTGCAGTGGGGTGTTCCCTCATGGGTGACGCATTGGCAGAAAAGTTACCGGGGGAACATCAAAATTTAATCTCCTGACTCAGGTGAGCATTATACTAGATTTGGGGTATCATGGGAAGGAAGGGTAAACTATATGACTAGACAAAACAAGCACACATCCATCTAGATTTTGTTTATGGAAGTCATTGCACAATCTTCTATACCTGCCTGCACCCTAGCCTCACTAAGGAGAGTGTTATTGCCTTTATGAACCGCACTTCCTAGTCTTGAAATAGAACTTCACTTGTTACTTCTCACCTTTGAGGACACAGTGGAGAATGGTGGGTGGTCACTCTGTTGGGGGATGGGGGAGAAAGAGAGAAGATAAAGCATCTCTTCTGCTTGGGGCTTTGTGGAGGCTGACATGAGACCCAACTAAGCCCAAGAGGGAGAGCATTATGGCCACAGCCACTTCCTCAGTGGAGCTTGGGATTCTGAGGCCCAACACTGGATCTAGAGGCAGATGGGTTCCTGGGACACATGTAAAGGGTAGAACCTGATTCATCAGTGAGACTGTGAAATCCATTTACCAAATAGACCTCATTGGCGAGGGCAGCTCTGGAGATGGGATTGCTCAGCTGCTGGACAAGCAGGTGGTTGCCCTTGGTTTGGAATCCTATGGACCTCCATTTTTATAAGGGATCTGGTGGCTTAAGAAGACTTCGTGGAGGCTTGTGGGTGAATTGGAGACATGAATTGACTCTTCTTCCCTGGGTTTGCTGATGGGGTGGGAGGCCTAATTATAGCCCAGTACTTGCAGTCCTCCATGACTCATGGAGGGCCACTCTAGAGGCACAGATGACTTATATCTCTGGAAATGTGACCAGATCACCCCCCCCCCCTGTCTTTTCCCAAGTTCCCCTCAGGTATCAACTTGGAAAGTCATTTCCATTGGGGCTCCTCATTTGGTGCCCCACCCCCACATCCCCTGCCATGAACCCTGAACCTATGCTATTCTTTTTAGTCACAGTAGTGTCTTTGTAGTCAGGGCTATGCAGAGCTATTGTGACAGTAATGGAGATAGGCATGGGTGACACTGAGAGGACACTGGGTTGAATTTGGTTTCAGGTGTGTCTAAGGAGTTTGCTGTCTGGAATAACAATCTGGAAAACAGCTTTCCCATTTTCTTGTTTTCTGTCTGGCTGCCTCTCACACTTGATTCTCCAAGACCTTCCTGGCCTGTGTATGCTGGCCCATCCCACCACCCCTAATGCAAGGAGGAAGACTACTCACTTTGGTTTCTAGATTCAGAATCTTTGTTCCTTGGTGCTTGTCTCCAGGGACCTGCCCTTCCAAAAACAAGCTACACTCATGTATTTAGACACACATCTATGTGTATGTGTTTTCACATTCCTGATAGAGCGGCTCCGTGGCTACTGCCTTCTGCAAGCCGCAGTCTCAGTTTTTAAGCAGGATGAATTGTTGTCGAGCCGCCGTTGCTCTTCTACACCCGGGGCCATCAATCTTGCCTTGAACGCTGGTTCTGCTGGTCTGCCTGCTCAGTCTCATCTTTCTGGGGCAGACTTATTTACGGAGCCACGGCTAAGGTAATCTCATTCCCCAGCCCTGCAGCCTGGGCCTCTCTTGGCCACTCTTAAAAATAGCCCAGGATGAAGAGAGGTCTGGTTACCTCCTGTGCTCAGGGGCTGATCTCACCTCGCCTGCCTGTGTCTGGCAGCTCAGCCTTTCTCAGGGGCTGCTGGACAGGTTCATGGTCTTGCAGGAGGTGGTCAGCCTAACTCCCTCTTTGGCTCAGACCTCCTCTTAAGGGAGGCTGGGGAAGGGGAGGAGACAGGAAACTCCTTCCCAGCTATCTTCTCCCTGCAAGTGGAGTGGGAAATCTCGGCCTTGGAGGGAGCATGTCTATTTCTGGAGGAGGACAAGGGTGATCTTGGGCACAGACCTAGCATGGTAAAACATGCTGTTCAAGGTGGTGATTAGTTTCTGTCCTTTGTAGTTTCCCTAACCCTAAGTGGCAAATACCCTTTGCCCATACCTGGAAGCTAGGGAAGACCCTCTGTCCCCATGGACCATATTTCTTTTCCTAAAGCCCATCTGGTCAAGACTGATAAAGTGGGCTACATTTTGGCCTTTGGTGTGAGCCACAGCAGTGATTTCCGAGATGACCTTGGGGAGGCTTTATCTTATCCTGTGTTCCGCTTAGGTTTTCTCCCTTGTGCACTTAGGATGGATCATTCTGGCTCCTGCCTTACTTCTAGGGGATGTGGTGCAATTGATTCATCCATCAAAGTGTGAAAAGTGTGAAGTGATAGAGTCTGGAAAACCAGGGTGGCAGCACTGCAGTTTTACTTGTACTTCTGAGTGTGTGCGCCTGCCTGGAAGTGTGTCTGTATGTTAGATGTGAGCATGTGAGTATGCACTGGTATGTGTGAGAGAGATAATATAACATGTGTGATTCACTAGTTGTTGACACTTGTCATTTACCTGTCACCTTGTCTGCAGCCCTCGGCCCCTTTGTGCTGTCTTGAATGTGAATATTCTGAACCCCTTGTCACAGGGTCCCATAAGTTTCTAGGGAGATGCCTGTGTGATCAGTACAGGAAGGAGAGCTTAGTCGTTTCCGCAAGGCTCAGGGCATGCAGGGGCAACTAGGCCCATCCAGCCTCCTGTCACACTTGTCTCCCTGGGCCCGCCTAGACTCTTCAATTATTCTTCAGGTTCCCCAATTCTGTGGGGTTCTTCCTCACCTTCAGAAAGAACACACTGCTCTTTATCCTCTCTTTGGATTCCCTTATTTTCCTTAGCATATGTTAGTTGTACAAAGGGGTTTCACTGTGATATTTACACACACACACACACACACACACACACACACACACACATATATATAAAATGTACATTGATCAATTTATCCTCTCTACTCCTATTTCTTGTCCCTTCTTACAACAATTATTCTACATTCATACATGTGTGTGAAGCACTTCATCATATTCATCCACCCCGCTCACACTGGTACCCACCCCAAACAGGCTCCATTTTACACTTGTGTCGCTCATTTATTTTTTTAATGTGTAGATTCCACATATGAGAGAGAACATGCAAAACTTATCTTTCTCTTTGTTTGGGTTCTTGGCCCTTTCCATTTATGGGGACCTCCAGGCTTCCTTGGAAAGCATTTAGCAACCACCTCGAACTTCCCTTCCCACCCCCCAGCCCCAGTACCTAGTGCCGTACTCCATCCTATCCCAGTTGTGGTACATAGAATATCCTTACCATAATTGCTCATTTAATGGTCCGTTGCCTCTCCAGAATATAAGCTCCATAAGAACCCATTCCAACTTGTCTTACTCCTTACCAATTGTCCACACAGCACCTGTCACTTCACTGAGGCTTAGTATACATTTGAGATAATTGTGAATGAGTGAATGAATGAATGAATAGTGGGAAGGTGAATAGTGGGAAGATACCCATGCTCGTTGCATAGATACCGGACACATGGCTCCTTTGTCAGTGAGATGCCTTCAGCATCTCCCGTAGTGCCTCCTACTGACAGAAGGAGGTCTCTGGGCTGCTTGGTCTGGCTGGGATTCAGCAGGAGACCTTGTCCTAGCACCTGCCTGCACTTCACAGAAGGCACAAATAAGAGCTCGGCTTTCTAAATATTGGCTGTGAAGTCTCTCCTCAGTGACGAGAGATGTCCCCCTCCCCTCCAGCATGGGCAGCTGCCCAGGAACAGTGGCATTAGTGGCAGCTTGCTGCTCACAGCCCTCTCTCCCTGGTCATTCCTGTTTGAGTCACACTCAGCCAACTTCCAGGTTCTCCTGTCCCTGTCTCCCCCGCCAGGCTGGCTCCTGGCCTCGGTCCACAGGGCGGGGGCTGCTCGTCCTGGCTCCTGGCTGGTCCCCCCACCAGCCTCTGGCTCTCAGGATTGCTGCCTTTCTTGCGGCTGCTGCTCCCAGGGTGGCAGCACTGGGTGTTGAGAAAGCAGGCTCACTGCGACTGATGTCTCCACCTGCTGGCCATCCTGACCCTTGCGGCATGCAGCTCTCCATCTCCATCGGCGCCACGGCTGCCGTTACTGTGGCTGCTGCTGCAATATTTTATAACACACAGCCCAGAGACCCTGGGTAGGAAGCATGTCCCCGCAGACGACACTATGGGCTATTTCCATTAAGATCCGCTCCTGCTGGACGCTCCGAGTAAGTTTTCCCCGAGAAAAGTGCGAGGGGTAGACGGCTAACCCTCTGACTGTCTTGCTGTCCCCTAGGGGCTCTTCCATGAAGACTGAGGCGGGCGTAGCTGCTGAGAAGAGCCTGCTGACATGACATCGGCCACAGAGTTTGAAAACGTGGGCAACCAGCCACCGTACAGCCGGATCAATGCTCGCTGGGATGCCCCGGACGACGAGCTGGATAATGACAACAGCTCAGCCAGGCTCTTTGAGAGGTCCCGGATCAAGGCCTTGGCAGGTACTGCTTGGGGCTGTTGGGGGTTAGAAGAGTGGGCTCACAATCCCCAGGTCTATGCCCCTCATAACTGTGGTGACGTGTGTGTGTGTGTGTGTGTGTGTGTGTGTGTGTGTGTGTGTGTGTTGGGTGAGCCCCAGCAGCGATGGAGACATGTCTGCACAGCTTATAAAGGCTTTCCACCACCTCCATCCCCAGGAGCCCGGCTCTAGCAGCCTTGCCTTGAGGTATCCTCTACTTCCTTCAAAGAGACCCTGTGAGGCAGGAGGTGTTAGAGCTGGTACCAGGTGGATTCTACCTTCTGCCTCTGTTCAAAGGAACCTGTGGCCAACGTCAGAAGTATAAGAAAGTCTGGGCAAAGGAGATCTAAAGGGCCAAGCAGACAGGCACAGGTGCCAGAGGCCTTTTATGCACTTTGATTTCCTGCCTGCACTTAGAGACGGGAATTACTATCGTCTTTTCTATGGTACCAAGAGAAAAGAAGAAATTGAGAACAAGTAGAAGCCTCCTCACATTGTCTCAGGAAGGATTTTCTGGATGGAACCTTTCATCCTTAAACTAGAATTAGATTTGTACTAAGCAGATTCATAATAGATTTCTTGGTGTGTGTGTGTGTGTGTGTGTGTGTGTGTGTGTGTGTGTGTGTGTGTGCACGTGTGTATGGGCATGTGCACACACACGGAGAGGGAAAGAAAAAAGGAAGAGAGTATCTTATGTCTCTAGCAGAAATGGCTTTTCCTCCCCCTGCTGACTGAGATCTGATTTCCAGATTCCCACCTCGGCCTCCCACACCCACCCCACACACACTGATCCTGTGACTATTATCTCCCTGGAACTTGATTCAGGGGAATTATATTCTGATGCTAAGTCCTTGACCAATCAAGAAAGTTTGAACTACATGAGGGGTGAGGGAGAGGTTCCTTCATATTATTGTACATCAGCCTCTCAGATTGGACTCGAACACCATCACCGATTGCTCCCATCTGCTACCTTGTAAGAAAAGCAAAATCTCCCCTAAGTTCTCTCTGGAATGAGTCTCCTGGTATCTCTTAAGGCCCTGTATGAAGTTGATGGCGACTCTCTTCCTCTGTTCTGTCTTCCACTCCATTCCCAGATACTGTGCGCCCTGGTTGACCTTAAGGCATGAACAGGGGCCTGGATGTTTCTAGGACTTCAGTGACTTATTACCTCGGGAGTATTTGGGCTTCCCACTTCATAAAGGAATGCACCATCTCATCCCCATTGTCATGACAGGACATCTGCTCTGGTCTCAGACATCACCCTTTGTGTTCTATAGAAATTCCCTTTCTCCTTCCTTCATTTCCTCCTCTCCTTCCCAGATTTCATGAAATTCTCCTGTTGTTTTCCTTGAAATATATTAGCAGTGGCCCCTTGCTTTTGCCTTTGTAATTTTAACCTCTTTAATCAAACTAAAGTGAAACCCTTACTTTGTCAGCCATGTTTTATCTTCTATATATCTCAGTGCTAGACTAGATTGGGCCAGGTGGTTCTGGAGGCACAGGGGAAGTGATGGTACCATGTTGCATAATATTTGCCCAAGGATGAAACAAGGAGGGAGCCTGTCCTGTGTGGATATTCTTTGATTTATTTTTTTAGGACACTAAGGTAAACTCCACTTAAACAAATATTTATTGTATTCCTGCCAGGTTTAAAGCCACCCCCCAACCCCTACTCTCCAACCAGACATGAAAGGAGAGGGGAGTGGGGAGTCACAGAGATGAATTTAGTATAACATCTGTCTCTAAGGAGTTTATAATCTATTAGGGGAAAAAAATGAACTCTGCCCACATTTAATTAGCATGAGGAGAATTAGAGAAGAACTGTGGGGCAGACACATAAATTAGCAATGAAAAGCAAAGGAGATACACAAAGAATCAGAATAGTTCATGGGGGAATCAACTGTTGAGCTGGGGATAGAAGGGGGTGTGTGATTGAGCCAGGCAGAAGGGCTAGAACTTCTCCAAGTGACCTCTGGGTATGGTGGCCAGGTCAGATAAGCTTCCTGGGAACTGGTGGTGAGGGATTAAAGAGGTAAGCACAGGAGGGCATCATGTCAGAAGCTTCATGGTCAGTTCTAATGGATCAATGGACCAGAGTCTTTGTGGGGTTTTTTGTTTGTTTGTTGCTAGTCCTGGGGCTGAACTCAGGGCCTGAGCACTGTCCCTGAGCTCTTTATGCTCAAGACTAGCATTGTACCAATTGAGCCACAGTACCCCTTCCAGTTTTTTTCTGTTTATGTGGTGCTGAGGAATAAAACCCAAGGCTTTGTGCATGCTAGGCAAGCACTCTACCACTAAGCCACATTCCCAGCCCCAAACAGAGCCTTTCCTAATCCAGGCTCTGCCTGCTTGCACCTGTTCCTCACCAAGGATGTGTTGAGCATGTTGCCTACAAGGAGAGAGAACCTGCACTTAAATACTTGAGAGTGTTTGGTTTACAAGTAAACATGGAAGTTTTGGGTCCTTTCAATGCTTTTTATCAACAACACAAGCAGTGTACAGTCTTTTTCCTCCTGGGAGGTTGCTCAGAGTAACTTTAACTAGCTAAACTTTGCAAAGGTCCACCCAGATGGACCCATTCTGCTGGGTGGACAATGCAGAGAAAGAGACAGCTCTCCCTAGGTTTAACTTCCTGGCATTATTTTTTCAGTACTGTGTCTCAGGCCACCTTAGCAGTATAAGCAGGAGCCAGCCTGTCCAGTGGGGCCCTAGGAAGAGGAAGCTACCTTTGATCCGTCATGTCAGCATTTGAGTCAGCATGCTTTTTCACTTCTCTCCACTCACAAGAGGCCCAGAAAGCATTCGTCCCTCTGCTTCTTTTTCTCTCTCTTTTTTTGCTTTTATTTTTCTCTGTTCTCTCTGTGTGTGTGTGTGTGTGTGTGTGTGTGAGAGAGAGAGAGAGAGAGAGAGAGAGAGAGAGAGA